AAGTCTTTAGCTCTGTGGGGACACGTCACAGACAGTCCTCAACTTACAATGGTTTTACTTACGATTTTTCAAATTTACGATGATGTGAGAGCATTACACATTCAGCAGAAACTGTACTTTCAGTGCCCATACGACCATTCTTTTTTCCCTTTCATTACAGTATTCAATAAATTGCATGAGATATTCAACACTTTATTATAAAATAGGCTTTTTGTTGGATGGTTTTGCCCAACCACAGGCTAAAGTAAGTGTTCTGAGCATGTTTAAGGTAGGATAGGCTAAGCTATGATGTTCAATAGGTTAGGTGTAGTAAATGCATTTTTGATATACAATATTTTCAATTTATGATGGGTTTATCAGGATGTATCCCCAATGTAAGTTGAGAAGCATCTGTATTGACCTTCACTTTCAGTAAACTGAGGTGTTGCTATACATTACGGAGGAAGAGGCAGAAAACTAACCTATGTATAAAAACTCATGAGGAGCAGGAATGGGTCAGGAAAACACGGAATAATCAGACTCATTTAAGAGCAGAGAAGGAGCTTGATGTAATTTGCCTTAAGTTGCCACTTTGTCTTTGAATCCTCCCCGATCATGCTACCCCCAAAATATTCTGTCTTCTTATACACCATTCTTAGCACAACTTGTGGCACTTGGAAATTGTATTAGGTTGCTGATAACAGAAAACCTGATTATAACAGTAGAGCAGAAATGTGAACTGGCTATTTACAAGCCATTCAAAACTCTCTTTCCTTTGCCTTGGAATGAGAAAAGACTCACCTTCTCAGACTCACAACTAGGTGGAGGTGGCTAAGTGTCAGCGTTCTGGCCAATGAGATATAGGATATCTCTGAGGAGGGCTTCCTTTACTCTCCCCAAAAGATATGCCTTCATGAGATGAAAACTTTTGGCTCTTTTTTTCCTTCCTACCTGTAATATGAGCACGATGGCTGGAGGTGCAGCAGCCTTCTTGTGACCATGAGAACCAAATCCACATGCTAAAGCAAGACAGGAAGGCAAAAAGAGCCTGGGACATTAATGATATCATGGAGCTGCTATGCCAGCTATAAACCGATTATGCCAATTTCCTGTCATATCAGTATATTTCCCCCTCATAAAACCATGGTATCAGTTGAGAATTTTGTTCACCTGTAAGTAACAGAATGCCTTACTTCCACAGCTTAAAAAAGTGAGAAGTGTTATTGTTCTATTCACCAATTCAACAAGAAGTCAGGGAATAGGAAGTTAAGGGCTGATAGGCTGGCTCAATTATGTTGTCAGTGGTCCTGACTCTTCTGTCTTCTTAGCTTTTGCATTTTTAATGCATTGATTTTCTTCCCCTGGTCATAAGATGGCTGCTGTACCTCCAGGCATCCAGGTCTACATTCCAGGTAAAAAGAAGTATAATCTTTTTAATGAGTTCAAATTTTGTCACATGGTCATTCTTGGCTATATGGTGGATAGGGAAAAAAATGAATTGGCTTTTCAGTGTCTATAGTAGAGGAAACAATGTAGGTCGGTCGCTCGCTCAACATCCATTTCCAATCATTCTCTCCCTTGCTTTCCTCTACCGTGTCATAGGCATTTTTTTTTTAAACATTGCTTTATGAAGGAGTTACTCCTCACCAATTAGACTGGAAACCTTACGGGTCCTGACAGTGGCCAGCACTATGGGTACTAACATTTTTTGAATTAAGGAGCAGTAACTGCCTGGGGTTCTTACTTTCTGAAGCTCTGCAGGTGCCTTTGCTGAGACATCATTCTGTAACTGATAAGACAGCGTAAAGCAGGGCAGGGGAAAGGGCAAGAAACACAGAGCTGGGTAGAGACTTGAAAGTCACAGTGGTGGGATAATGGATTCAATTTTTTTGTTTGAAATTTTCTTTTGATGCAGAGACTCCTCATTCTGATGATGCTGGGCTAGATGATTCAGACCAGTCTTCCCACTGAACACGACTTAAAAAGCTGAATGAAATATAAAAAACATCTTCTTGAAAAAAATCAAAGACCTAACAAGAGAGTAAGGAATTACTGGGGCCAAGCTCTAAGAGTGATTCAGAATCCAGAGAGGTCAGCCTAGCACTTGGGGCCAGTTTTGCCCTAGGGGCGTCTGTGAATTTGGAGGAGGCAGCTGAGAGACTGAGCTGTACTTTGTGGAGCTGGGGGCAAAAGTCGGAGTCCAGGGACCAGCAAGGCTCGGGCCTTGATAAGCAGTCCACTCTCGCTTGGGATCCAGAGGACTGGTCCATGTGAGTAAGGGTGAACCAGAAAGAAACCAGCCCTCACACCAACCACCGTCGCCTGGTCAGCCCAGAAAATCTCACAGGCTGAATTTGGATTAAGGTAATTCTGGAATGCTAGGTTCCCCTAGACACTTGGCAAAAGAAGTAGAAAATCCTCATTGGAGAAAGACAACATGTCTATAAAAATGTCTACAAAAAAAGTTTCAAAACGATGTTGGTATGCAATAAAAAATTACCAGACCCCTGAGGAACTAGGACTCTATAAGCAAGAGCCAGCAGAAACAAAAAACCAAATCAGTCTCAAAGGGACTCAAAATGCTTGAATTATTGAATTTTCCTTTGATAGTATCTTATTGTTTTGGTGTCACAAAATTTTATGCAGTATAATTACAACAATGAAAAGAAATAATCTATATAAGGTAAAAAGCAAAAAATAGCTAGAAAGAAATCTACCACTATTACGTTGGTGGTGTCTGAGAGTAGCCAACTATGGTGTTTGTTTTAACTTCTTGCGTATTTTCCAGATTTTCTTTAATGACGATTTTTACTGGAGAAAATACTTACGTAAAAGAGAAAGTGATACAGGGTGTAGCCCAGATCGGGGCCGGGCTCACAGGCACGCAGTCTCTGCAGTTGCTCAGGGTCTTGTGCTCAGAAGGGGCTCACGCTTGCTTCAGTGCTCTGCTGTCGCTGTCTCGAAATTCTTAACTTTTAAACAAGAAGCCCCACATTTTCATTTTGCACTTGTCCTTGCAGAGTAGTAGCTAGTCCTGACCAGAGGTAATTAAATGCTGATTTGTTGACTGCTCTGGTCAACAGCCTCTGGGCTTGCTCCAGTTTCCCTACTTCCTGCTGAAAGGCATTTAGTTTCTAGGTTGGAGATGTGGCCACACAGGTGCAGGAATGTTGGGATGTAGTAGAAAGAGCCCAGGACTGGATTCTAGTTCTGTCACTAGCTAGTTGTAAGACTAGTTCTCTGTAATTCATCCCTTCCAGCTCCAAAGCCATGGGAATCACAGCTGTGAACAGGACAGTTAGCGCACCAGGTTAGAATCACACAGTAACTATCCGGTGCCCGCCCTATGCAAGGTACCGGATGCTCTGAGATTCAGTCCAAACCGTGATGTGGTTCTGCTCTTCACCCAGATTGGCCAATCACCTTTCAGGGTATCTCCCCTCGCTTTCTGGACTCGACTTATCTGAAACCCAAGTTCTGTCTGGAATGACTGGAACCGCTTCCACTGCCGTATCAGAAATCCCTTACAAAGCAAGCGCGGTGAAAGGGCTGGGAAGACGCTGGGGCGCTGGAATGAGTGTGCGGATAATCCCTACACTTACCGGACGTGTGCCAAGTGCCAGGCTTCACGCTAGGGTTTTTTTTGTTTAAACTTATGTTCCCATTTAATCCTTTTAAATGGTTTGGTCCTACCCTTATCTGTTTTTCAAATAAGGAAACCGAGGTTTAAAGAGGTTAAGTAACCTGCACCGAGAAAGGGGTCTGCTCCCAGAAGCGTGCTCTTGACTACTGGTGGTGTTATTGACCAACACCAGTAGCGAAAGCCACCCTTGCTGCCTCGCCAGCCCTGAGAAGTTCGCCGAGTCCATGTTTCCTCAATCCCAAAGTCATACGGCGGGGGAGGGTAGCGGATAGGCGGCAATGACGCTACTGGAGATTTTGCAGGGGCCAGGAGCAGAGCTGGACACGCAGGCCTAAGCCTTGAGTATGCTACAGTTTAGGAAGATCCACCCGAGCAGCCCCAGGGTACAAGGACTTGTCCTGTATCCCCAAGCAACACTAGGCAGCCCCCACGGCCCGTCCCCACACTTCCCGCTGGGCGCAACTGCTAGCACCGGGAGGGGCGGCTGTCGCGTCTAGGCGCGAGGACACGCCATACCCTTCCGCGGCGTCCCACCTCCTCCAGACGCACGTGTTTAAAGAGTCCCTGCTCCAGCCCATGCCGCCCCACCTCCGCGCGGCCGCCGGCCCCGCCTGCACTGCTGGCTTCGAGTTTCCTCCGAGAGGCTGGCGCGCACGCTGCAGTGGCGGCGGCAGCGGCCACCAAGCGCCTAGTGGCGCTTCGCCGCCCACCTTTCCCCGGCCCCCGCCGCTGCAGTCTCCGCCCGCCGGGGAGGGCGTGATCGGCAGAGCCGGAGCCGAGGGTGGGGCGCCGAGAGGGAGGGGATCCCGAGCTGCGCCGCGACAGTTGTCACAGTGGCAGAGGCGGCGGCAGCAGCAGGTGGAGCGAGCTCCTGTGCGAGCAGCGCTTGGCCTGAAACCCGCCGCGACAGCCAGTAGGACGAGAGCTGGCCCGCTGGGTTGGAGCCCGTGCTCCCCCGGTCCGACCCCCAGTTTCCCGAACTCTTGGGTTGAAGGGGCCGGGGCCGGATGCGCCTCGGAGCGCACAGCCTCGCTGGAAGCCGCGTCCGGGCGCAGGACCTGCGGCACCTACCTACTCCTGGCCGCCTAGCGACCTTGTCTCCCGGAAAGTGCGCTGCTGGCCGTGGGATTTGGCAGGAGCTCGGAGTCCGCCCGGGCGCCAGGCTCTGCGCTCTCCGTTTGCGCCCCGAGGCGCGGGAGGGTCCTGAGCGGAGCGCTCGCCTCCCCGCCTCTCCCCGGTAGCGGCGGAGGCAGGGTCCGCCCGGGCATCCCGGGGACGGGACCTCTACACTCAGTCTCTCGTGGAGTCCTCGCGTCTGTCGCCGTGTTGGTCTCGAGGGGCTCACCGGCTGGCATTTATCTGCAGATGTTCTCCGCTGATTTGGGGACAGTTCCCGCCAACGGCATTCGACTCCCCGTTCCCTGTCTCCGCTGGAGGGCCGGGCGCGGGGTCGCCGGAGATTGCGGGAATCCAGCCCCCACGCGCTGACCCTTGATTCTCTTCGCCGGCCGCGCGCCCGCCTCGCCACTGGCCTCGAGAGGCGTGTGTAGACGTGGCTCCTTTCTGCCTCCCCGTTTTGAGGGAGTCGGTCCTCCAGGGAGGCACCGGCCTCCTGGGGGCTTCTCTGTGTGTGGCGGGACTGGGGTCCGCCGGCCATGGCCTTCACTTTCGCCGCCTTCTGCTACATGCTGTCTCTGGTGCTGTGCGCCGCACTCATCTTCTTCGCCATCTGGCACGTGAGTAACCCGCAACGGTTCCTGACTCTTCCTTCGCCCCAGATGCGCCCCTGTCCACTTCCTTCCCGGATTTCACCTCACTTTCTCCCCGTTGCGGGCGTGGAGGGACGGGGAGGGCAGCCGCCGCACACCTGCAGGGTGGACCGCCTGCCGCTCCCTTGCCGGGGGCAGGGGACAGTTCCTCCCCGGGCCAGGCGGAGCCGGGCGCGCCCTCGAGCCCGGGTTGGAGGCGGAGGGACCGTTGGTGCCGGGGTAGGACACCGTCTCCAGGGCCTGACCGCCCGTCCCGGGCCCGGGGAGTGGCGGCTGCGGCCCCACCCGCCGTCCCTTCCCTGCCCCTTCCCCCTCTCCGGAGGGAGGCAAAGGAGAAGCGCCGCTGTAGGTCCCGGCAATTAGTCAAGTAACTATAACAACTAAACATTTAAAATGTCAGCGTCTGCGGTGGGTTGTGTGTAGACGTCATTGGAGACAAAGTGGAAACACGACGGGAGCGCCGTGTTATAGGAACTGTGGGGAGAGGAAGGAAACCAGGTGATGGGGCCGAGGTGGAAAGAAGCACGTAGGCGAGAGAGTGGCGAGGGACAGGGATAAACGAGGCCGTGGAGGAAAGTCACGCAGAGAGTGACGGCGGAGATGGACCATAGTTCCCTCCTCTGCCCTCTTGGCTTCCAGCATCCAACTCCTGAAGACTCCCTGCAGGGGTCAGACTCCAGCCAGGCCGCCGCCCCCCCCC